TAGAAGGGTGTGATTGTAAAAGGTGTGGGTGTGGCTGTAGATGGTGTGGGTGTAGTTGTAGACGGTGTGGGTGTGGCTATAGATGGTATGGGTGTGTTGTAGAAGGGTGTGGTTGTAAAAGGTGTGGGTGTGGCTGTAGATGGTGTGGGTGTGGTTGTAGATGGTGTGGGTGTGGCCGTAGATGGTATGGGTGTGGTTGTAAAAGGTGTGGGTGTGGCTGTAGATGGTATGGGTATGTTGTAGAAGGGTGTGGCTGTAGATGGTATGGGTGTGTTGTAGATGGTGTGGGTGTGGCTGTAGATGGTATGGGTGTGGCTGTGGAGGAGTGGCATCAGGGCACCTTGTGATGCTGGCACAGTTAAATATTATCTTCAGGGTGGTGACTACATAGAGCTACGTGTCCAAATGTCCTAGAGCTGAAAAGATACATACAGATAAGCTTGTGCAGGGACATCTCAACAAGCTTTGAGGATTCCATCAATGTCCATTTCCTATTTTTGATAGAGTTACTCAAGATGCTACCTTTGGGGGAAACTGAGTAATGGTACATTGGACTTCTCTGTAAACGTTTTGCAACTTCCTATGAAGCTTTCTGTAATTTGTAATTTGTTTAACTACAGAAGCACGTGTGTGTGTGTGTGTGTAGGTGTTTGGGATTCATACGCATACAGGTTTTCATATGTAGAGGTCAAGGTTCAGAGCAATCAAAGAAGAAATATAATTCATCACTGAACGGGAGCTCATAGGCTCAGCTAGACTCTCTGGACAATGAACTGCAGGTATATCGGTGTCGCTCCATACTTCCAGTTCTGTGGTTACCGACACACACTGCAGTGCCCAGCTTTTATGTGGGTGCTGGGGACCCACATTCAGGTCCTTGTGTTGACATGGCAAGCACTTTACCCACAGAGCAATCTTACCAGCGCCATGAATCTTTAAAAGGTATTCATCATGGTGTTTGGGTACACATAATAAAATGAGGACAGTGGTCAGCCCTTTAATATATCCATCATTTCCATGGTTTCCTTCATGTGTGTTGCAGTGCCCAACACCTCCTTTCTGAGCACATTTCAGTATTCTATACTATTAGCTGCAGTCCTCATTAGATGTCTAGACTACTCATTTCACATACTGAGTTTTCTGTCCTTTAACTGGTGATTTTTTTCAAAGTAAGGTGAAAAATTGATTTCTAAAATGTTCTGGGGATGAGAAGATTTAAGAAAAAAGGTTTTATAGCAGAAGAGGATTGGTGAGAACTCCGGGCTGACCTACCATCCCTGGGTTCAAAGCCTACTGTATCCTTGACAAGGGGATGGTCCCTATCAGTGCACTTTGGACCTATGCATTTTAATTGCCTGTTGATACCATGGAGGTTATAGCTACGATAATTTTAATTTTTTGCATGGGTGAAGCTGACAGCAATTAAATATTTCCAGCTAGCTAAAAGAGAAGATCGCGAATGTTCCTCTAACACACAAGTGACACATATTTGAGATTACCAATAAGCCTCATGATATGTTGTAAATGTGTATTGGAAGATCACACTGTACCCTGTAAGTATGTGTTGTCAAAGCACATTGAAAACAAATACAGGTGGACTGAAGACGGCTCAGTCAGGAAAATGTGGAAAATGAGAATTTGAGTTGGATCTCCAATACTTGTGTAAAAAGCCAGTTGTGGCAGTGGATAGCTGTAATTCTGATACTTGTGAGGTAGAGATAGGAGGATCCCTGAGGCTCCCTGGCCAGTCAGTCTAGAATAATCAGTGAGCTGAAGGTTCGCTGAGAGACCCTGTTTTCAGGGAGTAAGGTGGAAAGCAGAGGAAGAGAACAGAAGTCCTATCCTGGCCTCTACGTATATGTTCCAGTATGCATGCACTCACATGAATCACACACACACACACACACACACATGCACACACACACATGTACACACACATGCACACATACACACACTCACACACACAGGCACACTGTGAGTAGAGATTGAGGAAGACACCTGAAATTGACCTTTGACCTCCATATTCATGTCTATCCAGGAATACATACACATGAGCACCCTTCAATGACACACAAATAATATCTGATAGTCAGTTTTTGTCGACTTGACACAAACTAGAGTCTCTTGGAAGAGGGAACCTTAACTGAGGAACTGCCTCTATCAGATTAGCCTGTAGGCAGGTCTGTGGGGTGTTTTTTGGTTAATGATTGATGAAGGAGAGCCCAGTCCACTGTGGTCTGGGATTGTGTAAGAAAGCAGGCTGAGCAAGCCATGGGAGCAAGCCAGTAAACAACGTTCCTTCATGGTCTCTGCTTTGGCTCCTGCCTCCAGGTTCCTGTCTTGAGCTCCTGCCCTGATTTCATTCATGGTGGACTATAGCTATAAGCTGAAATAACCATTCTCTTGACATGTGGCTTTCGGTGAGTGTTTGCCACGGGGACACAGGCAGCTAGGATAAAGTTGCAGTCATGTGAACTTGTGTATACATAAAGAACGGAAATTCTGCTTATATTCACATAAAAGTGGCCATGTTTTCAGCTTTGACACCAGAGCCTTTCGAAGCTCTCATTTGTGTGTGTATGTCTGTATGTGTTTTAGAAACCATTGACAAAGGGAGCTTATTTTAAAATTCTGTTTGTGTTTATGTGTGGTGGTTTGAATCAGAAAGGTTCCCTACAGGCTCATGTGTTTAAACACATTGTCTCTGGTATGAGGCACTGTTTGGGGAGGCTATGGAACCTCTAGGAGGTGGAGCCTTGCTGGAGGAAGTATGTCCCTGGGAATAGCTTTTCAATGCTTATAGCTTGGCGCTGCATCCTGTTCCTTCTCTCCATGAAATGTCAGTCAGCTTCCTGTTCCTGCTTCCGTGTTCCCCTTCCCATTGCAGTGCCTTTTCGGCCATAAAGTACTGTATCTCCTGAAAACCCTATAGTGTTCAATCTTCATTCTCAGTTTGACTGGGTTTACCACCACCTAGGGGACACACCTTTGAGCATGTTTGTGAGTGTTTTTCTGGAGAAGTTTAACAGAGTAGGGAAGAGCTACTCCACTGGTAGGTGGAGCCGCCTGGCAGGCTGGGGTCCTGGACTGAATACGAAGGAGAAAGCAACCAAGAACCAGGATTCATCCCTTGCTACTTCTGTGTGCCAATGAAGTGTGACCTCTCAGTTTCCCGGACCACATCACAGTACAGCAGAGATGCTGAAAGTGATCTAGGCTTGTGTAGAAGAGGGACGGGGCAGACACAAGGAGGGAAGGGAAATAAGAGAGACTGGAGGCCAGCCAGCCACCACCTTTCTAATGGAAACCCTTCCTGAATGTAAAAAATTAAAACCCGCAGACCGCAAAGCTACTGGGTCCACACTCCTCTGTCCTCACCCCTTCCCAGCCTCTCCTCCCTTCTCATTTGCATCTACATTTAGCTCTACCTTCTCAACAGAGTTCCACCTCCAACCCTCTGCGGAAATGGGCACACTTTGCAGGTTATTTACCCTTTGATATGGCAGAACCCCCGTTTGAGGGAGGGAGCACCACCCACTAATTACTCACGCAGTAGGAAAAATAAATGGAGCTCCTTAGTGAGGATGCCATTCGCCAGTTAACTTGCTCTCAAGGCATTTCCTTATTGTGAAGTAACCTTGGATGCTGTCTCAGTGGGGAGCTCAGGTGCTTAAGTTTAGTGACTGCTGGCGTTTTTCTTGTGCATTGCTATTTTTATTAATTCTCTGAGAATTTCATGCAATGCATTTGGTTACATTCACTCCCCCCTCGATTTCTCCCCTAACTCCCTATAGATCTGCCCCACCTCTTTATCCTCCCAAACATTGTATCTTTTTTCTCTTTTAAATTTAACAACCATTGACTCAGTTTTTTGCTATCTAAACTTGTACTTTTGGGTGTGAGGCCATTCACTGGAGTGTGGGCGACCTCCCTGGACCAACTGCTGCTTGCCTGACTGGTTTCTGTGGGCAGGGCAGAGGACAGGAAACAAGGAAGCCTAGTTTCCCAGGACTTGTAAAAGAGCCCACATTTTATGACTGAATTTGTAAGAAGCGGGTTCTAAAAGGACCCTTATGAGCTGAGTCCCTTGACATAAATAGCTCCAGGTTCTTAATTAAGCTTTCTAACTGATGTTCTGGTCATTTTATGTTCATCTAGCTAATGGCAGAAGACTGAGTGGCTGAAGAGGGGTTTGCATCCACTAGGTCTGTTTCATAGTTGTGCTTGAAATGGGGGATTCCTAGCTCAGATTGGCTAGACTCTAAACCAATTGATAAGGGAGTTAAGACAAAGGCTGAGGACCTCTCAGTACCTAGAAGTAAGTCACTCAACTGAAAATATCAATGGGAGAGGGTGGTTCTAAACATGCAAAGGACACACCCCTTCCCTCCTTTCTATCCTTGTCTCTCACACACATCCTTGTTCTTTTAAGCCCAGCTTCTGAAGATGTAGGCCAGGACCCAGTACAGTACAGCAGAACTGAATGTGGAGGTGGTGAAAAGTTTGGTAACACCACCTGTTTCCGAACACATAATGACTAAAAATTCATCCAAGGTAGAATGCGTGATGAACTTGAAGCATGTCTAACATTGCTGTATGGGTTGCATTGCATGACTTCACTGCAGATGTGGTTCTGAACAGCAGCATGTGTGCTTCACACTGCACATGCCAGCTTTTCACATAACACCCAGCACTGCTTGGTATACATCTGTTCGGATTCCAGATGACTCCAGTCACGAATTGCAGGGTTTTTGCTGAATGCGCCAAGTTCTTCCCTGGTAAAGACATAATGTTTTAGTTCAGAGAATTCATGCTAATAGTTGAAATTGGATCAATAAATGAATGCATTTAAATTATTTTATTTTCATTTTTATTTATTTATTATTTTTTCTTGAGACTTTCATACCTGAATATTTACATCTTTTCTGCCCCACACTCTCCTGTCTAACTCCTCCTGTGTCCCTCTCTCAAATTCATGATCTCTTCTCCATATATATATACACACACATATATGCATGTTTATGTATATATATATATATATATATGCTGATGAATCATCTTAATGTTGCTCGTATGTGTATGTGTTTAGGGCTGGCTGCTTGGATTGGATGATCTAAAGAAAGATCGTGAGAACCTAAGGACCTGGATATCTGCCATGAGACAATGTCAGGGAGCACCCATGAAGTCTTAACAATATGGTCACCTAAACAAGACCTGCACAATGACAAGAGC